TTTTTTTTCAATCTGAGAGCGAAGTACGATAAATACAGTAATCATACCTGTTCCTCAAGGGACTTGCGAAGGGCATCAATCTTCATCGAGTGTTCCTGTTCCTCATGCAGTTGCTCAACAGCGCGAGCGGCATCAGCAAGAGCACGGTTGGCGCGTTCATCGGCAGCGTGGAGTTCCTTGGTGACCTGAAAAGTCCATTTTCAATTACTCTACTTGGATAGATAATGCATTTGTTGAACAAACCTCATCGAGATCAGCTTGAACAGTGGAGAGTTCAGTTTCGAGTTTGTTCTTGATCGAGGTGAGGTTATTGTTAATGGCGGTAAGATCGGCAATGCGTCCGTTAGCCTCTTCAAGGTCGATTTCAGCCTGTTTGCGGGCACGGATAGCGTTGTCGAGGGCAGTCTTAGCTTCCTCAAGTTCTGCAGAAAGGGCAGCAACCTGGAAAACAAGCAATTTCACAAACAAATGTTGAGTTCTTGAAGAATTCTCGCTAATTATCACGGATTAGTCATTCTATGAATGCGCGGAATTTACGTCGTCAGTTGGCATGATCCACCCACACTACATACGCAAATTACAGTAGGATAACAAGCGCTTCTGTTACACAAAGTAAAAGATTGGTGGTGGACCGGAGATGTGTGTACTAGTCATTGCTAAAAGAAGTAATTGGTGTTCTCTCAAAGCCAGTCTAGACGCAATAATTCAAAAACCGGCGGACTAAAAGCTCTCAGAAAGTGAAAAAGTGTCCTTTCCATAAATGTGGTGAAGTCTAGACATTTGAGCTTTAATACTGTGTACCACAAGAAATCACCTGACATTTTAATTCTAGAAAGAACACCCTTGACGTTTCAATGTCAGTCTACCAAGCGCTCGAGTAATGAATCCCTCTTAGATTTTTTCACGATGAACATACTGTTATCTGAGAATTGAAGTATATCCATAGATCTACGGCTCTTTAAGCCCACATTATAAAAAGGAAGGATTGAAAAACCATTCCAAGAAATTAACAGAAAAGAGTTTGTCTTGTATCCCGTAAAGATAAAAAAATAGGATTCTTTGGTGAAGTGGACTAGCATTTTAAAATTTATATAAAAAAGCGCTACCTCCTTCAAAGAGAAGTTAGTCCTCAACTGATTTTGCTTAGGAAAAAAGTACACGAAATTTTTGAAACATTAATAGATGAGACACCGACCTTGCGTTGAGCAAGCGCATATTGGTCAAGGACTTGTTGAAGTTGGCGTTGAGTATCTTCAAGAGAAGCCTGGAGAATCTTAAGCTGCTCGGATTGTTTCTTAATCGTCTTTTGGGCTTCAATATTGGCACGGTTCAAGTTATCGACGGTCATTTCCAATTCAGCGATCTCAGCCTGGTACTTCTTCTTCAGACGAGAGATCTCTGCCTAGAATTTG